CTGGGCTCAAGTGAGTCTCCTGCCTCCACCTCCCAAGTAGCTGGGACCACAGGCACCCGCCACCACGCCTGGCTATTTTTTGGTTGTGGCAGTCATTGTTGTTTGGTGGGCCAGGGCTGGATTCGAACCCATCACCTTAGGTGTATGTGGCTGGCACCTTAGCCACTTGAGCCACAGGCGCCGAGCTCCTATGTTACTTTTGTGGGTCCAACTAACCAGTAAGCTCTTGAAGCCCAAAAGTATACCTTATACAGCCTGTACTTTTGAATGTTGGCTGTTCCAAGTCCAAACCGGGACTCTCTTACATTGGCTTATGAAAGAACACTGAGCTGTCACATGGTGCTGAGCCTGCAAGTCAACAGCTCCCTTTTGGTGACATCGCTCCCATCTAAATAGCAGGCTCTGCACAACTATTTGGATGTTTATTACATACTATTCATAAAAAGATGAACAGAGACCTACCAGAAAAATAAAATTGACAGCACTAATGGTAAACATACATGTCTCATGATTACAAGACCATCATCAGGTGGGCTAAAACTTGGTTTTCTATCTCTAAAATGTACTTTTTGTCTTTAAAATGCTCAAGAATGACACAAGACAATGCCAAGCGCTCTCCAATGGTAGATCAATGTCATCCATATCATTCGAGCCTCAGGGGGAGGTCATGGGCACTGTGCAAATGATTGAATTGTCACCGGGCCCACATCCATGCTCCTGGGAGGGGAAGAGTCCAACAGCTAAAATCTCTGGGAGGTGAAGTTCAGTGTTTATTCCCAATATCAACTGAAATCTGGCCTGAAAGTTTATAACCCGACCCAGCAGAGTCTGGAAGAGTCAAGGGATGGCAGTAGGGACAGGAACTAAACTGCCTGGGTTTTGTCCCAGCTCTGCCACATGCTGTATAGGACCAGACATGTGGTTTACCCACTGGTGACTTATTTTCCTCTGCCACAGACGGGATTATAGTAACAGTACTTGCCTTATAAGTTGTTTGAAGCTGTGATGAGCCAGTGCAGCCGAGTAGGTTAGAGGGAAGTTAGTGCTCATCAAGTGTTAGTACCCACGGGCCTGAACCCCTCCTATTTCCCGTGAGAGGACTTACCCAGGCCGAGGTTGGAGATGGTCTCGAGGTCTGTGAAGCTGCTCGCTTCGAGGATGGCCTGGGGCAGCCTGAGCGTGAAGGGCAGTAAATCTCTGTGAAGACACGAGGGGTCAGAGGTCATGTCTGGGGAGGGGCCATGGTGTTCATTTCTCGGCTAATCCCCAAACCTGTAGCCCATAAAGGAAGAACCCTGGCAACCCCACTGGCTGCTGGGGTGTCCATGCAGCCTGGGAACTTCCCTGGAGCTGAGGGAACATCCTGGCAGGCCTAGGTCCCAGGCCAGTGTTAGAGACCCAGGAACGTAGGGGACCCAGCTCAGGAGTGGGGTCTTGGTCCTTCTCCTTGGTCTTCCTGGCCTGCTGAGCCAGGCAGCCCCTGAGGAGTGCATAGGCAGCCAACTAGTTGAGCTTTCGGTGGGGTGGGAACTGTTCAGGACTCCCTGCTCCCTCCAGAGAACTTTCAGAAAGGATTCAGGTAGATGGAGAAACTGAGGCCTGGAGAGATAAGGGGCTATTTCCAGGCCATACAATGGGTGGAGGGCAGAGTGCACTGAGCCCAGGCCTCCTGGCTTCCAGCCTTGGGCTGTTTCACAGGGTCAGGAAGGGTATACGGCACCGCTGAGGCCCCAGGACAGTGGTCCCAATTCTCTATTTCACCCTGGCACTGAAGGCCCGGACATCCCTTTCCAGCCTCATCTCCAGCTTATCCCACCACCTCCCAGAGCCACCCCTCCCCAGGGTCTTTGTGGTTCTACCGTTTGTACCTCATCTTCTCCCTGGGGACACTAAGCTGGGAGCCCTGGGAGCTCTGGGGGCCAGGGTGGCCTTCCAGATCTTGGCCCCCACAGTGCTTAGCACATGCCATGGGGCTCAAAGGGCATTTTCCAGTGGACCTAGGCAAACCCAGGAGCTGCACTGGAGGGAGAGCAGAGCAGAGGAAATACTGCCTGGGATGGGGCTGGCAGGGGCTCCCCAACCACCTCCCCACCTGTTGAGGGCCCTCTGCCCAGCGCTGTTGGCTTCTGTGGCTTCCCACCTATTCTCACTCCCCACTTTGGGAAGTGCTTTCATGCAGGGAGGATACTTCTGTTTATGGACGGGCAGGATGGAGTGGGCCATGGCATAGGTTCTGGGCCTTTTCTTGAGGGCTGCAGGCCAGCCAGAAGTGCTCTGCATCTTCATTGTCACGCAATGCTCCTGTGAGCCCACAGCCTTTTGATGGCCATATTGGACAGGCCCTCAGCAGTCTGCCACCACCTCAGGCCCTGTCCTGCACTACTCCCCCCATATCTAATTTTGAAAGATGTCAACATCCATCCTTGAGGTGCCTCAGTTTCCCTGGTTGACTGGCCTGTCACTGGGGTTTCCAGTGGTGGCTCTGTCACTGTGTGTATGTATCACTATGGCCATAAAGCTTGCTCAGCTCATCTGTGCCCACCCTCCCTATCCTGCCCACTGACAATCTCCTGACTCTCTGTCGCTCCCCTCAGTCAACTGTGTAGGATTCTGCAGTGGCAGCTGTGATCACGCCCAGACTCAAACCCTGGCTCCCAAGGCCTCCCCGGTCTGGCCTTTGCTCTGCCTCTCCCGCTCATTTCCCACATCTGCCCCTGCAGAGCTTTCCCCTGCACTCAGGGGCCTCCCCATGGCCTTTCAAAATACTACGCTCATTTTCCTACAGCCCCTTCATCCCCACTGCCCACGTCTACTCAGATTTTACACATCCTTTGAGGCCACAGCACGGATCTCTTCTTCCTCCATGACCTGGTATTCAAAGGCTACCCCGCCTCTTACTCCCCACACACTACCCAATGCACCGCTCCCCAGGGGCTGCCTCTTCCCAGCCAAGGAAAAGCACACACAGGATGTGGGTGTTGGTTGAGCATCTACCACATGCTGGGTACTGGTCGAGGTGTTTTACAGAACTTACATCAAAGGATATTAGTACTACATTACATCACAGCAGTCCTAATGGTAGGCATTGGTACCTCTGTTTTACAGGTGACACAGGCTCAGAGAGGTCAGGGACTTGCCAGAGATCACCCAGCCAGTAGTAACTTTCTGACAGAAACACTGACACATTTAAAAATCCATACTGATACATATATTGATTCTGTACAGGGTAATTCCTTTAACTTGCACCTTTCTTTGAGAGAAAAGGAACTATCATGCATTGAGTGCTATCAATCACGCACCAAGAACTTAACCTATGTTATTCCACTCAGTCCTTGTGACACCCTTCTGATGTGGGCACTACTATCATCTTCATTTTAAAAAATGTTAAATTTTGTTGAATTAGTAAAGAAGCACCTGGCTTGGCGCCTGTAACTCAGTGGCTAGAGTGCTGGCCACATAACACTGGGGCTGGCAGGCCAAACAACAATGTCAACAACAATAACAACAACAAAAATAGCCAAGCATTGTGGTGGGCGCCTATAGTCCCAGCTACTTGGGAGGCTGAGGCAAGAGAATCGCTTAAGCCCAAGAGCTTGAGGTTGCTGTGAGCTGTGACGCCATGGCACTCTACCAAGGGTGACATAGCGAGACTGTCTCAAAAAAAAAAAAAAAAAGAAAAGAAAACAAACATCTATTCACTGTAGCAAAGTCAAACAATACAAAAAGTGCTTGAAATAAAATGTGCATGAAGGGGCTCCCTCTTCAGAGGATCCTACTGCAAACCCACTGGGGAGCGACCTGCCTGGCTCTTCTTCATCCACACACAAACAGGCACATACATGTGCACACACATGCACATGCACAAACACACTTGCAGAGACATGCAAGTACTCACATATACATGTGCACATACACGTACATTTACATGCATGCACCACAAGCACTTGTGCACACATGCACACACATACACATCCATGTGTACACATGCGCACACACTCCAATGATTTAAAAAACAAAATGGTACTGTGTTACGTACTGTTCTGCAGCTTGATCCCTTCACTTAACAAGAAGGCTATCTATATACACGTAGGGAGCAGTTCCACAAATCCATACATCTATACTGATCTCTTACTTTTTCTATGCTGCAGAGTATTCCACGGGATGACCTTCATTTATTTTTCTTCTTTTCATGAAAATTCAAGCTGTTTTTTCCCACAATGCTAACACAAACAGAGCTCACCTAGTACCCAGGCACTGTTATAAGCACTTTATGCATATTAGCTCTTCAAATCCTCTCTCCAACCCTGTGAAGGAGGTACTTTCCTTATACCCATCTTGTAGCTGAGAAAACTGAGACACAGAGAGACTAAGAGGCTTGGCCCCATTCCATAGTTTACAAGTGACAATGCCTAAATTCGAATGCAGGCAGACTGGCTCCAGGGTTAGGGCTCTTAATACCTACTCACTTTTGTCAAAAAATTATTTCCAAATTGGCACAGGATCAAACTATGTTGCAAAGAACAACTGTAGCACATACTCTTTCTGCCCTCAAGCCAGTACTTCTACTGATAGATTCCTAGGTATGAGTCTGCTGGGCCACAAGGTATATATTTTTTGAGAAATAACAGAATTGGCCAAACAGACCCTCTTTGCCCAGACTTGCACCCATTCACACTCCAACAATGCCTGTGGGGCTCAAAAGCTCACGCAGCAGCTTGCTCCTCCCAGTTCTAAAAACACAATGACCAACACCCTGGCCCTCCACCTCTGCTTCAGTGTATCTCAGTGGTGCCCACAAAGGTGCTCACCCACAAAGGCAGAACCTGGACAAATCGCCTAGTTTGGGGTTAGGGTGGCAAGCCTTCCACCTAGATAAAATGAGCAAGTGCCTAAATAAGATGAGCAAGATGCAAAGAGGGAGAAGGTAGAGGTCTGAAGCCAGTGGTACATATGTGGCTATTCATACCCAAAGGCCGAGTCCTGGAGCCATGGAAATGCCAGGAAAGACCTCCTGGTGGAGTGCAGAGGTGGTGGGGCCTCCACGTGAACACATACTGACAACCAAAAACCAAGAGAGAGTTGTGAGGTCCACTAGGTCCCCGACACACACCCATATTCTGCAGAATTAGGGAACTTCTAAAAGTGCAGATTGCTAGATTGCTCACGGGTACCCAGCATCGAGTGCTGAGGTTGGCTGAGAATTCACATTTTAAAGTAGCTCTCAAGGGGATCCTGATGGATGCAGGTTTGAGTGGGGATCAGGGCCCCTGAAGTCAGGGCTATTACAAAATATTACCATGAAGTAATCTTCCAGAGGGGTATCTGTGTAAAGAGTATTTACAACAATAGAGATTTTAAAAATGGGAATTTTAGAATAAATGTTCCAATATTATCCCCCATACTCTGGGGGGTTAGTCTGTGCACCTCCCAATGTGCCCGTGCCCCTCTCCAGAGGCCTCTGTTCAGGCCGGCGCTTTGCAAACTTTTTTGATCATAACTGTCAGTGAGAAACACTTCTGACATCATAAAGCGTGTACACACACACAACTAAAACTTCAGCAAAACCAAACTGATTCCATGAGACACATTCTGATATTTTCTAGTCCTATTGACTTTATTTATTTATAAAAAATAGGTGGTTAGGACCCCCACCAACCCCCCGGTGGTTGGTGGGGGTCCTAACCACCTATTTTCATTGAATTCAGTTCAATTCCCACACTGATTACCTGGAGTTAGGATCAGGCTCCGCAGACTTCAGGGGTCAGTTCCCCAAGATGGCCTCCACCTCGGGAACAGTTGCAAGTCCCAGGCCACTAGTACTTCTGACTGGCCAGCCATAAATCAGAGGCCCCAGGCTCTATGACAACAGGTTCTCCAAGGGCAAAGAAGACTGCCCTCCTCTTGTACCTCCTCCTCCAGGAAAGGAGGGTGGCTGCTTAGTCACAACATTGGGCACACCCGGGGGACAGCGGGGGAGGCACAGGTGGCCCCTCCCTTCCTTCCTCATTTTGGGCAATGACACCCACTTCTTGAAGTCAATGACTCCCATACCCAGGGCTGTGCTGAGGATCCCCCATGACCCTTGCAAGGAGTGGAGCAGAGCACCTGGCACCAAGTAACTGCTCAAGAAATGATCAAGTGTGTTCATCCTGACATGATCCTCCTGACACCCAAGACTGAGACTACTGGCATCTACCCGGCCTCCCCTAGCCACCCCTCAAGTGTCTCACCCCACTATTTTTGGTTCCCCCAGGCACTACCAGGGGCAGAAACCTCCCAGGGCCCAGATGGGTGCATGACCCCTAGCTGGTCTCCACTCTCTCCTGGCTTAAATACCTTCACCTGCTGTGCTCACCCTGCCCTGCTATCAAGCAGCCTAACTATCAGCAACAGGCTCACAGCACTGGCAGAAGGAAGTCTCTGCAACTCCTAGGGATGGTGTTTGAGGCCTTCTGAACACCTTACCTCCCATTCGTGTATTCAGTTTGACCCATGAAATCACTCCTCAGGCTGCCTATAGGTTTCCCACTGCACATACTGTTCCCTAGAATTCCCTTCCTACCCTTCTTTGCCTGGTCCCCAATGTCACTTATTCCATAAAGAGGCCTTTGTGTCCCCATATGCAGAGGGAGAGGCTGGCCAGCGAGCAGTACAGGCATCCTCTCAGCTCCAGGCCTGGGCAGATCCAGCTGGGGCTTGAGATCAGACAAACCTGGGTTCTAATCTGGCTCAGAACTGAGCTGTGCAACTCAGGGCAGGTCCCACCGTAGCCTTCATTTCTTCATTTAGAACAGCAACAAGAACATGCTTGATCATTTCTCAAGCACTTACTTTGTGATAGCTGCTCTGCTCATCCCCTTCCAGGGGTCACAGGCTCTGAAGCTCAGCACATCCTGGAGTGGGGTCATGATCTGGGGTCATTAGTCTCCTGAAGTGGGTCTGCAGGTAATAATACCTTCTCTAAAAGTATTATCATTGTAGGGGTTAGGAAGGACTCTCCAGGTGGTGCCAGCAATAAAGTCTGACTCAACACAGACGCTCAATCCATGGCAGCTAATTGTAGCAGTTGTTGCTGACACCTCACCCCAACCAGATCCCTTTACTTGTCTGCATACCCACTGTCCCTCAGGGACTTGTCACAAATGTGTAGGAGTACCCCCAGGTCTACTTGAAATCAAACCTCATGGGACTCCTGTCCTACTTTCTCCTCCCTTGGTGCTTTCTCCTTGGGGACATGCCCTAATCATCCCTTACAGACCCTAGAAGCATGTCTCTAGAAGACCCTTAGCTCAGCAATAAGTATCAATACCCTGAAAGCAGTTTTCAAACCTTGGTCTGCAGATGGGCTGGTTCCTTATAAAGGGAAACACACAGACCCCAGGAGTCTGTGTTTTTAACCAGCTCACTGGTGACTACAGAACCCAGCCAGGTGTGGAAACCCTCCCTAGAATCCTCATGCCAGTCCACCATCCGGCCTCGAGCATGAGGGTTTGCGTTAGAAATGGGGTGAGCGCCTTGAAGCAGAACCTTTCTCTTTTGTTGTATTTCTGGGGGCAGAGGCTGTCTCTTTAATGTGTTCTCTTATTCCATACTCCAGAATCAATATACTTAATCCTATCATTCCCATTTTACAGAGAAAGAAGCTGAGGCTCAGAGAGATTAAGTAACCAACTCAAGTTCTTGATCATTCTGGGCTGGGCAATTATGTCGTCATCCAGTCATTCATTCACTCACAGCACCCAGCATGCACCAAACACTATGCCAGGTCCCTTCTGCTAAAGTGAGAACTTCTCAGAACAGGAGAGGAAAAGGCCTGTTCCCCTGAGAGCCTGACATGTTGTAACATACCCAGGGGCCTCTGCTGGCCCTTGAGGGATGTACTAGAGGGCATGAGAATTATAGCAGGATGCACTCAGAGAGGTGGCTATAGCAAAGAGCATGGACTAGTTTGAAGGTCTGCTCATCCATTTACTGCTGTGCAAGTTACTTCTCTCCCTCTTAGTTTCCTCATCTGTAAAATGGTGATAACAACAGCACTTACCTCCAGAAATTGTTTGTAAGATTTAAAAAGATAATAGGTAAAAAAGCCCCTAGCACAGTGCTGAGTACCTGGTAAGCCTTTAATAGGTGGCAGCCATTAGCATCAACTGTTATTATCAGTGGCACTTTTCAGCTCACTTCAGGATCCCAACACATCTGCCCGATCTCTCTGACCAGCCCTTGTCAAGGTCCTGTAACTTAAACCATGGGCTTATGACAGTAAAATGTATTTTTAAATTCTTATTGATCTGAAACCAGTTATGAATAAAGAGTCAGTTCTGAGGGTGGTTACCAGACACCTGCTCCACCCAGCAGCTGCCTAATAACCACACCTCCCTCCCATGAAGGAGGATCAGCTCCTCCTGCTGCTTCTACAGGAAGTTCCTTCTGTAACCCCCACAGTGAGCCCAGATCAGGTCCAAGCTGTCCTTGACACTAGGCAGTAAGCCAGAGGGGCAGGTGGGGATGAGGGAAAGGCTCTTGCCAGAAGCTCTATGGGAGCATCAGAGCTAACACACTCCCTAGAGGCTACCAGAGCTAAGCCAGGGGATTTCCCCTCCTGCATCCTCTGGGGCTTCCCTAGGACAGATGACCTCCAGCAGGCCCAGGTCTACTCACCTACTGACACAGTAGAAGGCAACCAGTCTGAAGATGTCCTCAAACACAAGAACTGAGCCTTCCAGGTACAATACTGAGGAGAGATGAGAAAGGCCTTGGGTGAATATCCCTCCAAAGACAAGCGTGGAAGGAGGTGTCAGCTCCCCAAGGGTGAGGTAGGAGGGTGTCTGTCATGTTCATCATGGGTCCCAGCACCTACCACAGGGCCTGGCCCCTGTGGCCTCAGCTGGGAATGGGATCTTGGGCAAATGCTTTGATCCTCAACCTTGCCAGAGCTATAAAATGTCAGGGCTTTCCTGCCATTAGGGTGCTGTGAGCTTGCCAGATTAGCTTCTGATAGGCATTGGGGATCCAGATGAAAGGCCAGCAGCCCCACTCTAATGCCCTGGGCACGTCAGCTGCCAGCTAGAATGGACGTCTATGTTGTTAATCCACTGAGAGTCAGGAGATTATGTATTGTAATTTCTGGTGTTAATTAATACACACTCGTCATTTGTCAAAATAACACGGAAGATTCTAGACTGTAATAGCAGAATTAAACATTTAATTTATCAGGACCATCCCAAGGAATAGTCTTACAGCTCGACAATGCTAGGGACAACGATGGCCCAGCAGGAGGGATGTTGCCCAGATCTGCCTGCCTATGATGGTGCCACTTCACTCCAGCCTGGGCACAGAGTGAGATCCTATCTCTCAAAAAAATTTTACACTCATCTATTTATGGCAAAGAGATAGTTTTTCCTTGATATTGATAAACAATTTTAAAAGACAGCTTAAAGAAAAATATTAACTAGACTATGTATGCCAGATACTTGGAGGATGCCTACAAATGACTTAAGTGAATCCACGCTGTGAATTCATAGGTGGAGGTGGCTTCGGGTGGCACAGCGCCACCTAGCGCCACACCCATATGTGGCTGACTCCCCACAAGGGGGAGCACAGGTTGTGGCCAAAGGAGCCTGGGGCCAAAATCCTGCAGCAATGAGGGGAGATGGGACCACACTCCCCCACACACGGTAAGATGGAAGCCAAAGACCCTTTTTACGAATCCCTCGAGCAGGATTAGGGGTAAAGCACACAAAAAGCCCAGCCTAGGATACTGGGCACACCCAACAATTAGCAGTTTTTCCTCATCATTGAGATGCCGCCCAGCCTTTTCGGAACACAGATAAAATCTTGACAAGGGTCAGCCACTCTCCCTTCCATGCCCCCTGCCCCCACACTTTAAATAAAGGCCTGCACCCTCATCCTAAAACAGCATAGTCACATGACTTTAGATCCAGTCTACCAAGCAGGTCAGCTTGGTGTATCAGCTCCCTGGGTGCAGGGACCAGAACCCATTGGCTTTTGGAACCCAGGCCCCAGTGTAGTTCTCTCTCTCTTCTTCTTCTTCTTTTTTTGAGACACTCTGATGTCATATTTCACAGAAACCTCAAACTCTTGGGCTCAAACGATCCTCTTGCCTCAGTCTCTCAAGTAGCTGGGATTAGAGGCACCTTCCACAGCACCCAGCTAGTTTTTCTATTTTTAGTAGAGACTGGGTCTTGCTCTTGCTCAGGCTGGTCTCTTAACTCCTCAGCTCAAACAATCCACCTGTCTTGGCCTCCCTAAGTGCTAGGATTATAGGCACAAGCTACTGAATTCAGCCCCCAGTGTAGTTCTTGACACAGAGGCCCAGTTACTGTTTTACTGTTAAACTGTAGTTGTGTCAAATCACAAGTCAAAGCTCATGCTTGTGTCTTTGTGATTAGACCTAGTCTCCCCCAGCCCCAGTCCCTGTTCTACTGGCCCCCCTTCTGACCATGCAAACAGCATCCCCTCACACCAAGGCCATAGCTGAGGGAGGCCCTGCATGCCCAGGACAGGGCTTGGCCCATCTCTGAGTCTCCCTCGGCACCCAACACAGGGCACGACACTGCAGTTTGGGAGATCAATGGATGTTTACTGTAAGTCTGTCTAGGACGGAGACCCCAGAGGCGTAGAGGCTGCAACGGTACTGTGGCTAGGGTCTTAAACCTCCCACCAAGTGGTTCACAGCCCTTTCCTCTAGGGGCCCCAAAGGATACCTAGGACTTGAAGAAGATCTAACAGACACCCTTCTGGAACAGACGTGAATGCAAATTGGTAAGAGACAAACAGTCCTTTGTTCCAAGGGGTGGTGGCTTAACCTCCAGGACTCCCCTGCCTCCCATCCTGCACCATCCTGGTGGCCCTCTGTCCACATCGCCTACATGTGGACATGTCTCCATGATGTTGCTTATCCTCTCTGTGCCTCAGTTTCTTCAGCTGTAAAACAGGGATAATAAAGTTCCTACCTATTGAGAGTAGAATAGTTCCCCTAAAAGATATGCTAAAGTTTCAAACCCCAGTACCTGTGAAGGTGACCTGATTCAGAAATAGGATCTTATAGATGTAATCTACTTAAAATGAAGCCATCCTGAATCAGGGTGGACCCTAAATCCAATACCTGGTGTTTTCTCATAAGAATGCCATGTGAGGACATGCCATGGGGCCCAGAAACACAGAGAAGGCAATGCCATGTGAAGCCAGAGGCAGACTGGCACAATGGACCCACAAGCCAAGGAACACCAAGGATTGGCAGCAGCTACTAGAAGCCAAGAGAGAAGCATGGAACAGACTCTCCCTGAGCCTGCAGAGGGAATCAACACTGTTGACACCTTGATTTCAGATTTTTGGCCTCAAGACCATGAAAGAAGAAATCTCTGCTATCTTAAGCCACCCAGTTTGTGGTCATTTATAGCAGCAGCCATAAGTAAATGAATACACCAACTCATAAACACTGTTCTGAGCATGAAATAAATTATTGCACAGGAGCTGCTTGGGACAGTACACGGCATGTTGGAATCATTTTAAACGAGCAAGGCAATCATGGTGAGGGGTAGTGTGGCAGGGAGAAGGGTTTGTGGCCTCACTTGGCCTCATTTGGGGGCTCCTCCATAGAGACCTTGTCCCTCACCAGATACTTTCCTACTCTCTCCTGTTAATGCAGCCCTCTTTGCTGCCTCCTGGCTTTCCCCTGTGCTGTGTGTCCTGCCCAGAGAATCTCTGTGCCTCCAGAGTTCGGTTCTAGGTCTGCCTTCTGCCCTAAAGGAGCAGATTCTGGGGATTCTGACCTCTGCCACTGCACAGCCACACACAGGTTGTACCACCCACACCACTCATTCTCCTGTCAGGGAAATGCTACAGGAGTTTATACTGTGATGCAGAGGCAGGGGTGCTCAGACCACAAAGCTGTAAACTCACTGGAGCAGGGACGGGTTTTGCACAACCCCTGCCCTGAGCCCAGCTCTGTCCCAGCCACACGGTGAGGACCTTTGTGGTGTTGAAATGTAGAGGGGACCAAATATAAATAGAGATGGAAGGGAGGTTAGTGGTTGCTTAGGGCTGGGGGTGGGGGAAATGAGAGCTAAAGGGTGTGAGCTTTTTTTTTTCTTATTGTGGTAAACTATAAATAACATAAAATTTAGCATTTTAACCATTTCTAAATGGAGTTCAGTGACATAAAGTACATTCACCCTGTCATGCACCACGAGGTGTCTTTTTGGAGGTGCTGAAAAATGTTCTTATGTTGGCTGTGGTGACGGCTGCAGGACTCTGTGAACACGCTGAAGTTGCATACTTTTAACAGGTGAATAGTATGACACTGAATACATGAAGTAAATACATCTGAATAAAGCTGTTCTAAAAAAAGGAAACATACAAAGAGTGGTCTGAATTTCACTTCCTGCATTATGATTTTCTGAGATTTTTATAATGAGCGTATTTGACTTCTGTAAGTGGAGATACAGTAAAGATTTTTGTCTAAAGCCAATTGGTTTCCAGTGTCCTCTCAGCTCATGCTGCTTTCGTAGCCACTCACAGCCCTACTGGATGCACCTGACAAGCCCCTTGTGCCGCCTTCCACCCAGGAGACTGCATCACCCCCGACCCTGCCAAGCCAGCTCTGACACAGCCTCAGGACATCCAGTGTCCACTTCTGACCTTGACAGGGAGCCTGCCCATGTGCCTGCTCCTCCCAGCAAAGATGCCAGTTCCAGCTGGTCTCCTGTGACTTGTCACACTGTATACAATCTCCCAGGCTCCTCAACAAAAGCCTCAGTGGGAATATACCAAACCCCATTTCAACCATTTCAAAGACGAGGTGAAAGAACAGGCACCAGCCAGGGGAATGCAGCGCATGCCCAGGTGATGGCAGGGGACGACAATTGGACTCTGCCTCTGCTCAGAGGAAAGGAAACTTTCAGTTTATGACTCACATCAAGGCTGTGTGTGGGATGGGTGGAGATGCTTGGCACATATGTGCCAGCCTGGCTCCTGGAATTTACAATCTCAATGTCAAAATGGAACATTTGGTAGAGAACTGAAAGTTATTATAAGTTTTTTTTTTTTTTTTTAAAGACATTCAGTTTTGGGTGGGCGCAGTGGTTCACGCCTATAATCTTAGCACTCTGAGAGGCCAAGGTGGGCAGATCGCTTGAGGCCAGGAGTTTGAGACACCTGAGCAAGAATGAGACCCCATCTCTTAAAAACAGAAAAGTTAGCTGGGCGTGGTAGCAGGTACCTATAGTCACAGCTACTTGGGAGGTTGAGGCGGGAGAATTGCTTGAGCCCAAAAGTTTGAGGTTGCAGTGAGCTAAGATGATGCAGCCTAGGTAACAGAGACAGACTCTCTCTAAAAAAAGAGAAAAAAAATGAAAAAGAAAGTCCGTTTTATCACTCAGTAACAGAAATGAAATGCCAAGGGCAGAGACCATGTGCGCATCTTTTATTCTCCATGGTACCCCCAGAATCTGGCATGCTTTGGCACACTGCCGGATCTCAAATTATCTATCTAATTGTGAATGCATAAAATGTTTTATTTTGAAATACTTGTAGATTCACAAGAAGTTGTAAAGAAATGAATAGGAAAATTATGCACACCCTTCCCCAGCCCCCCCAATGGTGAGTAATGTCATTCATAATTAGAGCACAATGTCAAAACCGGGAAATTGACCTTGGTTCAATCCACAGAACTTATTCAAGTGTCCCTAGTTTTACCTGCCCTTATTTTTACATGTGTGTGTTTATATAGTACTAGGCAATTTTATCAATGGGTAGCTTTGAGCAATCATCACAATCA